CTAAGAACTACTCTCTTTAAAAAAATAAAAATAAAAGTGCACAGACACCACAAGAGAGGCTGTCAGAAACATGTTTTAGTGCCAGAGCTTTGTGCATTTACAGTGAAGGTACAGCACATGCTCGTTCCCTCCTTTGAGGTCATGCTTTCAGACTTGACCTTCTGCTAAGACACATGCCACATCTGGATGTTTTTGGAGGCTTAGCAATGAAGTGAATTTATTCCTCTACAACATATTTTGGACTACTGAAGCTTCTTTATTGTGTTGGAAATTATTTATTCATTTTGAGAAGGACAGAAAAGAGAAGATGCAGTACTTAGAAATTTAAAAAGTGAAAATCTTATTCTATGTCTTAATACCATACTTTAAAGTCAAATTGTGGCACATAAGCAAGGAAAATTAAATACTGGGAAATATATTTGATATTAAATTAAAAATGAAAAAGAAAATTGCATTTGCAACTGCTCAGGCCTGTTTCATTTACACAAACAAAAAAGTTAATATCTTTTACCGCCACATACACACAGACCTTTCACAACCTGACATTTAGAATTCAATATCTCAGCAGCTCAAATTAGTGACTATAGTGAAAAAGATGCCTAAACATTCAAGTACTAAGATTCCAAGTTAAGTTTAAAAATAGCACTATTAGGTTCTTACGCATATTAAAATAAAATCTCCATTTAAATTTATATTTATATTACTTTTTGTGTGCTGACAGGATTCATAATCCAACCAACCTAATATTTCTCAACCTAATACAGCAGAGGTAGCATTCCAAATGTTCATCACTGAACATAAGGTTCGAAGAAGTAAGTTAACACAAGCAAAAGATACCTATCTGCATTTGCTATCTGTCAACTAAAACTGTCTCGAATGACAAGGATTCACATTGTCCTTGACAAATAACAGTGATAGAGCAATTGCAATCAGCATGTTGATTCTCAGTGCCACCCAGTGACAGATCTTGAGTACACATGTCCTTTGATGCCCACTCACTGTTCTGGTGGCCTAGGCCCGATATTTAAGACTTAATACCCCAAACCATATAAAATATAAGCTATAATGCTAAGAAGCTAAATTTAGAAAAAAACAAGCTCACAGACTTTCAGGCTAGCATCAAGAAAGAAGGGGAAAATATTGGACAAAACGACTACCCTTTATTCACAAAAAGAAGTATAAATGTGCACTCAAAAAGGTAGAAGCAGACAGACATAATGAGTGACAACCTATCTCAAAAAAGAAGAAAATGCTTTGCTATGGTATTCCCTGTCCTGAAGAAATAACATTTCTTTTCACAAGATTTTTCAAGCATAAGATGAAAGGTAAAAGGCAGGAGGATTACTCCAAGTTCAAGACGAACGTGGAATACACAGCAAATGTCATGACAGTATGGCTATATATTGAGACCTTATCTTAAAAAAAAATGTAATTAAATGAAAATACATGATTCAGCAAGGAGATGCTTGCTGCCATGCCTGACAATGGTACATCTCTAGAACCTACATGGTGACAGATGAGACCTGATTCCTACAAGTTGTCCCCCGAGGAATCTTAAATCCATCCCTAATAAGCAGCTTTTATAGGATGTTTTACTCTCACAGTTTGGTGATATAAGTCATCTTTCTCTGAGGTTACATGCTTTCTTCTTGCCTGGACATTATTCATCAAGGCACATCAGAGTAATCTGAGTACCCTATGTTTGAAGAACATACAAGTAAGTTATTTGCTTAAGCCAGTGCATTCATTCAAAATTATACACAGACATAAATGGACCACTACTGACCACTACAAAGATATGTAAGTAAAATTTAAAATTTTATATGTAAGTTAAATATAATGTGTCTATATTATAAGTCATTAGATTCTATATGTGATATAAACTTGTATATAATAATCAATCTAGAAACTCAGAAAATACAGTGTTTTCTAATCAAAGGATGATACTTATTCACCAGAAATTTTCTTTGAAGTAAAATTATATTTGTTTCTCCATTGACTGAGACAATTTTATCTTCCTTAAATTACCTTGATAGGTGGTTCATAATTATTACAATTAGGACTAGCCTGCATTTTCTACATTACATGCTAATGTAACTCAACTGCCCTTTTTAATCAATAGCAGAATTTTACAACTGATACTGAGTCACTAAATAAATGTCATTTACTAATAACTAAATTTCTCTAAAACCACCATTGTTGCTATTATTATTACATGTATTTAAAATGGGGAAAATTATGCAATATCAACAGCTCACACCTATCGTCTGCATCCTATGTTCAAGGCACTGAAAAGTATTTGAGATTCAAATGTATCTAATTTATTTTCAGCCTTGATTATAACCACTTTTTCCCCTAAACTGACATCCCTGTATTTAACAGAATTATGAAGAAGATAAAAATCAATGGGAATCACCTAAGAATCATTAAGCAAATCTTTGGAGAAAATATATTAGTTTAAAAGAAAATATGTACAACCAACAAAAATTTTATCCAATGAGACTGAGTCTATATGGTAAAATCTATCAGGAAAAAAATGTTAACATCTCCCTTCCTAAAATGAAAGTGGCTAATTTAAACATTTCTACAAGCTTTCCACATATATATACTTTGGATTTAGGTTTACTTTTACTGTGTGTGTGTGTGTGTGTGTGTGTTGAGGTACATGTACAGAAGTACAGGTCCCCTCACGGCCAGAGGTGTGGGATCCCCAGAAGCTAGAGTTATCAGCAGGTATGACCTTCCTGATGTGGGTGATGGGAATCAAACTTATGTCCTCCACAACCCATAGGCACTCTGACTACCTAGCCATCGCTCTTGCATCCCACATATATATTCTTTAAGGATGCATTATGCAAAAAAAGCAGAAAGCTAACTGTTGCATGGCTCGATTTCATAAGCCTTTTTATTAGTAATCCTGAGAGGGCAGATAAAGAAAAGTGAAGCGAGGAAGTAACATGTTCATCAACACATAAATAACCAGGTAAATGGATGATAATTATCATCTTGAACAAAAATCTTGGACTGGGAAAATTTTGTAAAACATGAAGGTGCTGTCAACAACACCCACAAAAAAGAGCTTCAAAACGGTAGTGTAGCTGCAGCACAAAGTTAAAAGACAGGAAATGGAAAGCAGGTGTCTGTTACACACACTTAGATTCATAACTAGGACACATGAAGGCATAGATAATAAATAGGAAGCTAAAAAGCCTGCCTGTCCAATCCATCCTTAAAAATAAATGGTCAATGACAGTAGTTTCCTAACGTCAAAAGTTCACTGTCTCCAATCTTCATCTAATAAGAAAAGTTATGACAAACAAGATAACATTTTAGCTTATTTTTACCAAAGACTGTGTGTAGTGAGACAGTTAGAAATAAACTTGAGTCAAAATCATTGGTTCGTTGTTAATTTCTTTATAGGAAAATTAAATCTGTTATATTTTATTCTGGTTAGAACAATTGGTATTAAGTTTATTTCTGGGTCAAATATTGAAATGGTTTAAGTTAAACTACATAAACAACCTGAGAATAGGCAATCCCGATTTGACTCACACACTATTTCTTATTTAAAGAAAACTCAGAGTCTAAATTCTGAACTAATACACAATAGTAATGATACTTATCCTATGCAAAGTTCTCTACATTTTCAGATCCCTTGGCTATAAACTATTTTTTAATGAGTTTATTAGAGAGGTGTCATTTCTTCCATGTAATGGAAGTTGAGAGTTCAGAATGGCTTTTCTTATTGAACAGTCTAAGTATGATCAAAGTATGTAAAGTGTGTGAAAATGATATGCTGTGTCCACTCTGTGAGAGTTTTGAGTGTGTCTAGTAAATATCATTGAGATTCTGTTACACACAGGCTCAACACAGTTCTGCCAGCTGGTACAGTCTGCCCTACAGACTGAAGCCACACCTTAGAGCATCATGTTAATGGTCAATGTTCTAAGATCCCAACTGCATCTCGTAGACAAAACAATATAGAATTCCATCAAAATACCGAGCTTTGAGGGTTTCAAGATACCCTGATGCTACCTACACTAGCATCAAATGGCAACTGATTGACTAACTGTAGCCAATTAAGCCACTTTCTATGCCTTTACTTCTATTTCTTTACCATTGCTGAGTGATCATGGTGTTGGGTAGAATTCTCAGAATCAGCTGTGATTCTACAAGGTGCCTGACTCACAAATCACTTTTGTTTTACTTTGCTCAAATTAACTCTAGCTGACAAAACTGGACGAAAAAAATAGCCTTTTAATAATAGTGAGAGCCAGACATACTGGCACATGACTTTAATCTTGGCATTGGAAAGGCAGAGGCAGATGGATTCCTGTGAGTCTGTGGCCAGCCTGGTCTATAAAGAGAGTTCCAGGGCAGTCAAGGCTACATAAAGAGACCATGTTGTCATTATATAGTAATAAATACAAAAGGGAGATAAGTTCTGTGGTGAGTTCTGCTTTACTGTCTGAAATGTCAGCTTCCCCCAAGTAAAGGAAGACAAAGCCCAATACAGGGACAGAATAAGTATATTATAAAAGAAATATCAGTGTGAATGTTGATAAAGGTAAGAGTTAAGCATTTATTCCATACTATAAAAGTTAAGATATAAAATTGAAGGTTGAAGTTGTTTTCATTCTTACATTAGATCAAGAATATTCCACCATTAAACCACAGCTCAAGATGACAAAAAAAACCCTAAATTCTTAGCACCAACAATAGCAATTTATATTCAATATTACTAAAACCAAGTGTCCTAAAATGGACAATATATTTCTTTCTTTTTCCCATTTCCCATTGTCCACTAAATACTTAAAGTTTATTTTGAAACAAATGAGACTTAAGTAAGATTTCTTCCAATCTTGTATTTCCTTGGGCTGGCCTCATTCTTATTTTAATTTGAGTAATTTAATATACTATATAATTTAATTTACCCCTGAAAGGGGTAAAATTTAAATTAGAACTAAAAAAAATTAATAATATCAAAAAGAAAATATTACCTTTATATCAAAATTACAATCAAGTCTTCTAATCAATACAATGAAAGTGCCAGAAGAATTGTCTTTGAATGGAGGAGGCACTATGGGTTCACAAGCATTCTCTGGTTTGGAGTTAATCAAAAACCCCTGCAAAGGAATGAGTAACACGTTATCTCTGTTTCACTCAATAAGTCAGTTCGCCTGCCTCTATGACGTCATCCATTAGTTTTCTCGTCTAGATATATTTTCTTGTAGCTACAGTTGTTCACAATCCCACAACTTTTCAAGTAGAATCCGGATTTATAACCATTTCATTTTTTTTTTTTATAGTTTCAACCTTTCAGAATATTAACACTTTTAGGATTACACATAAATCAATTACACCAAATATAGCCGCTCCTAGGATGTTGGCACTATTTCCCAACGATATTACTAAATTAAGAATTTTTTTAAGTTAGCTTTTACTTTTTACATTATCAAACAAGAAAAAGACACATATTAGAGCATAAATAAGGGGCTGGAGGTTAAAAGCAGTGGTTGCTCTTCCAGAGTTCTTGAGTTCAATTCCCGGCAATCACATGGTGGTTCACAACCATCTACAGCAAGATCTGACATGCAGGCAGAACAGTGTATATATAATAAATAAATAAAAATGCAAAAAATATCAGTACTCACCTGAGTATATAAAGACATGTGTACAAATATGATAATTTCTATATTGACTTTAATAGTTAAAAAACAGAAATCAAGCTCATGAATGAGGTAAATAGTTTTAAGATCGTACTATACACACAACAGAAAAGTAATGCATTTGTTTAAAAATGAAGGTATAACACTAGAATTTCTTCAACTGTAAAGAAAAGTAAATTCCTGGAATTTTCAGGATAGAACGAATTTCATTATATTAAGCAAAAGCCATATTCAGAAATAGTTCATGTTTTTTTCATATGTGAAATCTAGGAAAAAGAGAGAGACAGAGAGAGACTGTGTGTGTTGAAAATAGTAAGGAAACTATGATGGAGGAAAGAAGAAATATAATGGGATGGGAGGAAGAAGAAAAGAAAGTAATGCAAAATGTAAGACATAAACACATAAGGAAGGAATACTTGGGAGATAGGAAGAGGCAAGAAGAAAGCAGCAAAAATTGGGTAAACAAGAACAGAATACAAACCATATATTATGAAAGTGTCAAAATGAAATCAACTCATATACGAACATTAACAAGAATTTTTAATTTTTTAAATTAAAATTGCAATGATGTTAGCAAGATAACTATTTAAAATATTAAAAAGAAAACAGCCATCTGCTTTCCCAAAAATATATGGTGGTCCAGTATCAGAAGATGTATTCATTTGAAAAGTCATATTAGCAAACTGAAATTCAAAAACCAAATGATCGTGACATCGTGAACCAATAAACACCTAAAATAATAAAACTTATTTTTAAAAAGAACTAAGCAAAGAAAGCTACAGCATATCTTCAGAGTTCTGCATGGTGTTAGAACTGGCCCCATGAACCAATTCTTAGCATTTAGGGATTTCTTCTGCCTTAAGCTGCACTGCTTGGCTTAAAATATGAACAGTGCTTGCACCTGCTTCAGGAATGAAAAATATCAGTCCTTCATTCACCCACAGAATGTTTCTCTTGACTCCATACAACACTTGGTTTTAAATGTCCCAGAAACAGGACTGTGACCATTATCATAATGGCTATTTGTTTCATACATGTTTATAGCCTGTACCTAAATCCCTGAATCCTTTGCATGCCACTCTGCAAACACTTGAAGCCAAATCATGGTGCAGTTAGTCCTTTTCAACGGCAACTAAACTCAGTACATACTAAGAAGGCACAGAAATCAGTGAAGACATGATAGAACCAGGAGCTCCAGACATCTAGATCCCAACTACTCCAGGAGGCAGCAGCAAAAGGACAGATGAGTGAAAAGAGAGAAGAGTTTTTGCTTTTCAATCTTTTATAAATGAATCCAGTATAATGCATCCCGCTATCTTTAACACAATACATAAATCTCAAAAACACATACACTAAACGTTCTTATAATAATCTTTTTGTTTAAGTTGACTGACATGTATTATCTTTCATATGGATTTTACTGAAGAAAATAACTTGCTAACATACCTTGCTATTACTAGCCCTCAAATATGAGTCACTTACAATTCCACGCAAATTCAGTCTGTGACACCCACAAAGCTGACCTGAGAAAGCAGTGACCTTTGCCAACTTGGCAGAACTCTCTGGCCCTAAAAGAAGAGTAGCCAAGAAGGTGATGCCTTCAGCCAGACCTCCTGATTAATACACTCTCCAGGTCCAGTCTCTTTTTAATAAAAGAACAACTCCTGCACCTAAAGCTCATGGAATACCTCAGTAGAGGTGGCAGGGAGATTCTAAGTGCCAGAGGGCCAAGAAATCTGCTGAGATTGTGCCTACTAGAAATGACAGAGAAGCTTCACCCATGACACCTCAACAATATGGCTGCCTAAACAAGACCTAAAGAAGTCGAACACCATTAGACATGCTAGCATAGAAGTGCAGGATTAATCTCAGTGGATCCTAGGCATAGACAAAGAACTACAGTTGACTAATAGAGCAGAAGAGAGAGTCATCCCCAGGCCTAAGACCCCTAATTGTATATCCAATACCAAGTAGTAAGTCCTAAAATCATATGCATACAGGTGACACAAAACAGATTCAGCGGGTGACATTTATATAGTTAGATATTTGTACAGACACGTCACTGTAATAACTAAAGAAAAAGGGGGAAAGAAACCAGAATATCTTGCAATAGGAAATAACTATGATTAGCTATAACATACAATATTATGCAGCACTCAAGAGATGCAACCGTATTTATAGGTGCTGCTGTGAAAAGATCTATAAGACACAGGAAAAACAAAACAAAAACAAATTGCAAGGTAATTAGTGAAGTAGGTATCTGTAATTTATGGTACCACAAATATTCTGAAAGCCTCTCCCTATATGATAATTATCATCTTCTCAAAAAAGACTAAAAGTGACAACAAAATGCTATACAGTATTCTCTACCTTTCCTGTCTGGTAAATATTTTACCAAAATACGTGGTTAATAACTATACGACCTATACTGTCTGTCAATCAACAAAGAGCAGGTGTTGTATTTGGAAATGACCACATCAGTAGAGTGTGACAAATGATAGCACTTTGCTTAGCTTAAGTAGCAGCAGGAGCGAATACTGTGGGCTAAAACTTCAAAGTATTCTGACGTGCTTTCGGGATATAACAGGTGCATCTCCCCCTTAGTTTTCACTGTCAACTTGACCTAGCCAACAGCACCTAAGCAGAGTCTTGACTGAGGGGCTGCCCAGATCAGGTGGCATGGCAACCTGTGTAGGAAACCCTGGTGATTGCTGGCTGACAGGAGAGTCTAGACCACTGAAGGCAACACCTCACCTGCACAAGTGCTCCGAAACATAGCCAGGAGCCAACAGCAGCATTCTTCCAGCATTTCTACTTCAGATTTCTGCCCGGATTCCTGCCCTGACTCCCCTCAAAGATGGACTGCAGCCAGTAAGCCGAAATAACTCTCTCCTCCCTAAGTTGCTTTTGGAAGGAAGGGAACTAGAATACAAATCCTCTTTAAAATCTACAGGATGGTTCTGACTTTTATCCACAAAGCAATGTCATCATCTTTTCATAAATCACCTTCCAAGTAAAACTACAAGAACAAGCACTTCATATATGCGAATGATGCATTTTTGAAATGTGTAACTTCGTAAATTTATGAACAGAAAAACTTAAAAGGGGAACGTGAGACGGTTCGGTAGATGAAGGTGCTTGCTGCCTAGTCTAACAACCTGAGTTCACTCCTTGGGCCCCACATTGTGGAAAGAGAGAAATTAACTACTGAAAGGTATCCTCAGGCGTCCCCATGTACACTGTGGTACACACACACACACACACGCACGCATATATGTGCATTCATACACACAAACACAATAAACAAATAACTAAATAAATAAATATAATAAGTTTTTTAAAGAACTAAAGAGTGTTTTATATTCAGAAAAGGACCCAAAGACCTGTAAGTCACTGGCAATACTTAACTCTGAAAAGAGAGTACGGCTGGCAGGCACAGCTAAGGAAGACACAAAGGAAAGCTTTTCTTTTTTAATACGTTCCCTGTTCTGTTTAAATATTCATTCCAGTGAAAAATAATGACATGGTAGTGACAGTATTTTTTTTTAGTAATTTAAGTTCTTGAAGAAAACTAAAAGTGTATATGTACATTGTAGAGTTGACACCATGCTGATAGAAAACTGAAAACATGTATGTGTGTTCTAGCTTATACAACAAAAACCTCACACTATCTTTGAGGAAGAAATTTCTAACTATTATGTTAGAGAAAGAAGGAAAACACAATGATTTTTAACCACACAAATAAAATTGCTGAAACTTTAAACTCAAGAAAAAAATATTCTGAAGCTAAGCAGAAAACAACTGATACTTCAAATATATAAAGAACTGTGGAAAAATAAAAACGTGTTAATTTTTAAATAGGTATAGAGCATTTATAGCCAAATAACTCAATGTATGAAGGCATGTGTGTGCATGTGTGTGTATGCGTGTATGTGTGTGCTTGTGTGTATGCATGTGTGTTTGTGTAAGTGTGTGCAGAAAATTAGGATGTTTAACCAAGTTAGATACTTCTTGTAAACTAGTGAATATTTAGTATGTATTAGTGAAGATAGCAAAGCGGAAAGGATGGTCTCAGACATGAAAGTGTCCTTAACACTCTATGGGGCAACCTGAAATCTATACCAAAATTTAAAACATGTATGCCACAAAGAAAGCAATGCTATGCTTGAAGACACACCCCATAGACGGGAGGAGAACACTGATTAAGGAAGGAGAGTAGTCTTTAATCCTACACTCAGGAAGCAGAGGCAGGTTAATCTCTGTGAGTCTAAGACCTGCCTGGTCTACACAGCAAGCTCTAGGACAGCCAAGGCTACATAGTAAGACCCTGTTTCAAGGAAAAGAAAGGAAGAAAGAGAAAGAGAGAGAGAAAAGAAAATTTTAAAAGTCACTGAGGCAGTGTTAGTAATAAGCTAGAAAATCTAAATATATACTTCAAAAATAAAAGCTAAAATGTTTAGCTTTTCATGAGACTGCAAAACCAAGAAAACCTTAAAAATATTAATGGATTCTTTTCCTCTCGGCAAGAAGCATGACATAAAGATGCACTTAGGGGCAGGGACCAAACAGCAAGTTTCTATAAGTATAAATACAGCTTTATTATATGCATCAGTATTTGCACAAACATGTATAGTTAAAATGCATGCATAACACACAACCTATGAAATAGGTCTGAAATACCATGTACCAAATATGAACATACCTAGTGTTAACAATACAATTACAGGCAATTTTACTTTCCTCTTCATATCTCTGTATGTACCAGTATATGTACCCTACAGACCAAACTCAGCAGTGTACTCTTATACTTCAAAACTAGTTTTGGTTTTTATTTTGCTTTGTTCTTCTGAGAAAGGTCTCACTATGCATCGCTGGCAGGCCAAGAACTCACTTTATAGACCAGGCTGGCCTTGAACTAACAGAGACCAACCTGCCTCTGCCTCCTGAGTCTCGGCATTAAAAGCATAGACTGTCTTTTCCTTATGTTTTAAAGACAGGGCCTCACTCTACAGCCTGATCTAAGCTCAATGCTACCTCAAATTCACAATTCTGCTGTTCTACCCTCCTGAGTACTGGGATTACAGCTATACAGCACCATGCCCAGCTTGAATAACTTCACCTTTTTCAGATGACTACTTCAGGTTTTATGACAATAAATACTAAGAAATTTCTTCACTCAGTAAATGACCATTAAAAGACCCTTGTTAAATCTCATGTTCCGTGACATTAGTATCTTCTCACCTTTAGGCCTTCAGTTGGTAGTCTATAACCAAATCTTGCTGGAAGGTCCTCAAATGTCTGAGATGCATTTTCAAAATTATACTAAATATAAAATTTAAAAGAATCATGTTAAAAATCAATGTATATATTACATTTTAAGTTTATTAAATCACGTAAATCATCATTCTTATTTACTACTGCAACTTATCACAAAATAGTTAGAAAAAGAACATCAATTTCAAATAAAATTATAAAGGAGAAATCAAAATACCAAGAATAAGATAATTTACATGAACCATTTAAATTTGATTGTGACATCACATATTCTCAAATACCAACAATAATTCAGTAACATTAGACATCTACTGTTTTCTAGGTACTACCTACCAAGGAAGACGATTTCCCCCAGGAAAAAGCAACACCAACTCATACTCATATGCACTATCAATTTTCATAAAAGAGGAGCACTTAAGGCAGTGGTTCTCACCCTTCCCAATGCTGTGACCCTTTAATACAGCTTCTCATGCTATGCTGAGCCCCAGCATAAAATTATTTTGTTTGTTACTTCTTAACTATAATTTCGTTACTGTTATGAATCATAATGTGAATCTCTGTGTTTTCTGATAGTCTCAGGCAACCTCTGTGAAAAGGTCATTGGGATCACGGCCACAGGGTAGGAACCACTGGCTTGAGGACTAAATTCCATGGAGCACATAATAGGGAGCGCTGAAACTATTGAGGCATTTAGATTTAACTCACTATCATTGGGAATGGAACGCACATGCCATGCACATGTACAGAGGTCAAAGGTAACTTTGTGGAAACAGTTCCTCATGTCCACTCTAATACGGGCTCCAGGAACTGAGTTTAGCACTCATACTTGTGAGGTGAGCATTTTACCCATCCTGCTAGCTCAAATTATTCACACAATTTCCATTTTTAAACAGATATTGGTTCTTGTGCTACAAAACTTGAAAGTCTTCTAATAAAAGAGTGTGTGCTTTTAGACAATAATAGAAGGCTAGTGATATAGCTCAGTGGTAGAACCTTACCTCGCATGCATGGAGCCCTGAGTTCCATTTCCAACAACACACAAACAAACAATTTACAGATAATCACAGTACTGACCTAACTTTGAGGTAAGTCTGCTGTATCATTTAATAATGATTAATCAGCTATACAGAAAACTAGAGAAACAAGAGCAACAGAAGAAAGTGAGCACAGATAATAAACAAATAACTTTTATAACACAGATGAAATCTGTGCTATCGTAAAAGATGGCCGTTCATAACCTCTCAGTCATGAATAGAAAATGCAGAAGACATTTACAAAGGGAATTACGTGACACTAATCACAACACAGAAAAAGTTGCAGGGGCTGAAGGGGTAGCTCAGAGTTTAGGAGCACTTGGAGAGGACAGAGGTTCCATTCCTAGCAACACCTACATGGTGGCTTAAAACACCTCTAACACCAATTCGGGAGGGTCTGCCACCCTACTCTGGTCTCCATGGGCATCATATAGTGCACATCCATATATGCAGGCACTCGCGAATACACAAAATAAAATAAATAGGTCTTATAAAAAAAGATGTAAAGATCAAGTAAGCTTTAGAGTCACGAAGTAGAGAGGTCACACACAGGTATGCTCCCTAAGTCAGTCACCTACTGGACCACCGTGTTTGGCATCATCGGCTAGAAGCTTGAGATAAGTAGTACTGCATGCAGTTTAAGCAATATAACCTTCGTAGCTGTGCCGAGGCACTGACATCTTTCTCTCTCCAACAGAAAAGTATCATTCAACCAGGACACCTGCCAGCTGCCAAGTCTCATGGACTCAGCCTCAGCTCATGTCACTGTCAACAGTGAAAGCTGATGCAGCCAACAAGAGATCAGGCACTCCCAATAGACAACATAGGACTGAAGTGATACAGCTCTTGCATGTCTTAATAAACCCAGCTTTTCTCTGCTTCTCATTATGCAACTATAATCATTCATTCTGTTCACTTGGGTACCTAGCCCAGGATTGCACCCAGGGCCACCAGTTATACATGGGGACTTCTCTTCACTGACTTCTTATTGCAACAGTAATTCATATTTCCAGAGTGATTTACAAAATACTTTAGACACAAAGTGCTTTCTAACAAACTAACACAATTCACGTTTAATCTCCTAAAATATTATTTTAGTGATTCAGCCATACCCAGTTCTGTAGTGAACCTGAGAAGGTCATTTAACCCCTCCCAAAGACACCAATGTAAAAATAAAGAGATTAACTGAGATCAATGTAGGAAGAGCAAGGGAAGACACATGTATGGAAAAGCAGCACTTTAAAATGTGTACTTTGAAAATTACGAAATGGAACAATCTACAAGTAAGGGTTTTTTGATAACTTATAGTAAATTCACTTTTATGGCTAAATTTTTAGAAATACAACCTATAGCTTCGACAGTACTTGTAACATCCATCAGGGCTTAGAATACAGGTATTCAGTAGTTTACAAACAAACTATTACTATCATCCTTGTTTTGCATACTGCACACAGAATACTAAAAACAACTTGCCCTGTTAAATGAGAAGAACCAAGAGCTTACTCAAGGCAGTCTGGAAGCGGAACCAGGTTCCTAAACTACTGACCTACAAGATGTATCTGTACTTTCACTTTCAGTGTCAAATAACTATGAACTAAGATGGTAAGTAATTTATCCAAGGTCATCCTACCACATGAACAAGAATGTAACTCGGCTTGTAATTCTATTACCAACACTCCTGGCTACTATTATAAATAATCTACCCGTCCATTCCACTTCCTATTATGTCATTCTCTGATGCCAAGCATCAACTAATCAATTCTCTCTGACAAATACAAACAATGGAATCAGAGGCAGACTGGAATCAACTAAAATGGTGATATTCAACTGTAATTAACAAAATAGTACCAGGTTGAACATCCATGTCTAATATTGCCATATTCACATCATGATGCCAAGAAAGAAATAAAAGAAGAAAGGAAGGAAGGGAGGGAGGCAGGGAGGGAGGGAGGGAGGTGGAGGGAAGGAGCAAGGAAGGAAGGAAGGAAGAAAGGAAGGAGGGAGGAAGGGAGGGAGGATAGGGAAAAAGAAAAAGGGCAGATATGGTGAAACATTCCTATAATCCCAGCACTCAGGAAGCAGAGACAGGGCAAACCTCTAAGCCAGACTGGTCTACACAGTGGGTTTCAGGATAGCCAAGGTTCTTATAGTAAGAATATCTCAAAAATAAATACATATATACATACGTACATACATACAAACATATATACATACATACATACATACATACATACAAGGTATGTAAGAAACCAGTAAGATTCTATATAAAATACAAGCATGCAGGTATGGGCAAAGAGTCTCAAGAACACAGCATTTTTCAGGTACTTAATGTACATGAAATTTACACTGGATATTAACCAACCAAAAGAGAATAAGACACAGCAAATTTTCAAGTAACTGTGTATAGTTTGGCATGTTTATAAACATATTATAATACTGCATCATTCGTGGCTTTTTTTTATAGCATTAGAGATGTTTTCACACCTAATTTAGAGATGTTTTCACACCTAAATAAATTATACTGTACTTACTGCTAAAATGTCTGCTTCTACTGGCAGCAGGTTCAGGAATGCAAAGAGCTGCACAGTCAAGATGGTATAGACCTGTGTGGCGGACAGCATGAGCATCCCTATGGAGAGCAGCATCTTGTGTCACCTAGGAGATAAGGAAAGAAGAGCTGTGAAAGACAGTGCTTTCTCCCCAAGAATAAATCACTTTCCACACTAATTCCTAACACTAAAAAATATACTTTTTAATTACAAATGTGCTGGTATTAAGAGTAAGACATATTTTTAAGCCAGACATAATAGTGCACAAATTTAATCCGAGCACTCAAGAGGCCTTGTTGTATTTATTACAAAGCTATCATAACATAACTGGCACAAAAACTGACATGGAATCACTGGAACAGAATAGAGAACCACACAGCTACAGCTCTCAAAAAACATACATCAGAGAAATGACCACCTCTTCAATGAATGGAGCTGGGAAAGCAAAAAGCTGGAAAAAAAAAAAATCAGATCTGTTCTCCACCCTCCCCTGAAAACTCAATTCAAAATGGATCAAAGGCTAATGTAGACCCGAAACTTTTCAACTGTTGGAGGGAAATATAAGCATATACTTCAAGATGTAAGCATCAGGCAAGGACTTTCTGAACAGAATTCCAAAAGCAAAAGAAATAACCACCACACTGAAGAAACAGCCTAAGTCAATATTACCAAAATGTGAGCATTCTGTCATGTTTATGTCTGCACTATTCAAACCACATAATGGAAACAGGCTAGACAACAATCAAAGAAAATATGGTACAGTACATGTAAAAAGGGAAGTTTATGAGGTGGTAAGCAAAAATGATGTACTGACATATTCAGGAAAATGGATGCAACTGGAAATAAATCATTAAGTGAAATAAGTTAGACTTAGCAAAGCAAATACTATGTTTTCTCTCAGACAGAAATTAAGTGTGTGGGTGTGAGCCCAGCAATGGTGGCACCTGCCTTTAATCCCAGCACTTGGGAGGCAGAGGCAGGGGGAATCTCTGGAAGTTTGAGGCCAGCCTGGTCTAAAGAGTGAGTTCCAGGAGAATCCAAGATGACGGCACTGGGAGGACACTCTTTCTAACCAGCAGCACAGCAGGGTCTGCACAGTGACCAGCAGACAGAACTCTGGGTCCTAAAACACCATCAGTTAAGTTTCCCAGGTGAGAGGATACCCCACGGTGTAGGATGCAATCGGCTTCAGGTCACCCAGCTAAACTGCAGAAGAGTTCCCGGATCCTGCCAGGGGCTCAGTCGCCAGCCCAAAGCCACACACCAGGGTGCTCTGATCACTGTACCAGACTGAACTGTAGGCCCCACAACACCAGAGACTGAGATTTCCAGTTGAGAGAAAACCCCACAGTGCAGGAAGCAATCGGGACCAACCTTAGGTCACCCAGAAAACCCCTGGAAAAGGACCCCAGGTCCTGCAGGCGCCCCCGTGCCAGCCCAAAGTGAGGTGCTCAGCTGCCAGCACAGAGTCCTGCCTGCATACCCGACTCACCGTCCCAGACAGAACTGTGAGCCCTAGGGCACCAGAGACTGAGTTTATCTGTCGGGTGGAAACCACAGTGAGGGGAACAGCAGGTCTGACCTCAGAGACCTTAGCCGACACCAGTCCTCTTGAAAAGTTCTCGGGAAAAGTTCCTGGGTTCCTGCAGGTGCCCAGGTGCCCAGTCGCCCAGTTGTCAGCAAGGTGAAGCCACTCGCCTTTGCCTACTCGCCATCACAGACGGAACTGTGGACACGAAAACACCACAGTCTGGGTGTCCCTGTTGGGAGGAAACCCAACAGTGGGGAAAACATCAGGTCCAACCCTCAGTACACCCAGGTCCAGAAAAGTTCTGGGTTCCGGCAGGCTCTAAGCTATAGCCTTCTACTGCACATATGAGTGCAGTGCTCACCTGCCATTGATGACGGCTAGAGTACTGGTGCTCACAGCTCCAACCGCAGATCTACAAAAGCCGGAGAGCCATTGGCGCAGCCCTCAGATACCGCTCTAACGTGTGACCAGTTATCCCTAGCTAATCTGAGGAAACCATGGAACTCCCTGGTTCTTCAAGAGGGCTGCACCCAGCAAATACAGATTAAGAGCAACAGCAGCAGTAGCTCACTAAATTCAGAGGAAGAAACCCAGTAGCAGGGTAGCCATCTCGAGGACTTCCCCTGATGAATGGAGAGCCTTCCTGAACACCACAGTTACCACACAAGTCCATATGTGTGAGGGGAACTGTAACAATTCCTGAGAAGCACTGCCATTTCAATTGACCATACCCAAAAACCCGAGGAGACCTGCTTCAGAACCTGGCCAAGGGGATTCTCCCCACCCCAGGACTCCACCAGGCACCATAAATTAACAGACAACACCTGAGAAAGATAGATGGGTATAGGCCAACATAAAAGCACAACCAACAAAAGGCGAAGCAATATGGCATCACCAGAACCCAGTTATCCAGAGTCAAGTAGCCCTGGACACCCAGTCATAAGTGAAATTCAAGATGACCTTACATCTATGAAGAGGTTAGTGGAGGAAACAAATAAAATGTGTAAAGAATTAGAGGAAGATAAAGTTAAACAGATTATGGCCATCCATAAAGAAATACATGAAGCTGCAGCCAAACATTTGGTGGCTTTCAGAGAGGAAATGATTAAATCACTGAAAGAAATAAAAGAAACAGAGGAATGTTCAAACAGGTGACAAAATTGAAGGAAAAACAGGAAAATACAGTCAGACAGCTGAAGGAAACCAACAAAATGGTTCAAGATCTGAAGATAGAACTGGAAAAATTAAAGAAAACACAAATGGAGGAAATCATGGAGAGGAAGAACTTAGGAAAGAAAACAGAAACCACAGAGGTAAGCATAACCAACAAACTACAAAAGATGAAAGAAAGACTCTCAGGTATAGAAGATACAATGGAAAAAAACTGATGTATCTGTCAAAGAAAAAAATAACTATAAAAATTTCATTACACAAACCATCCAAAAAATCCAAGACAATATGAAAAGACAAAACCTAATTATAATAGGAATAGAGAAAAAAGAAGATGCCTGTCTCCAAGGCCCAGAAAATATTTTCAACAAAATCATAGAAGAAATTTTCCTCAACTTAAAAGAGAGGCCTATAAGCATACAAGAGGCCTACAGAACACCTAATAAATTAGACAAGAAAAGAAAATCCTCCTGCTAAATAATAATCAAAGCAGTAAGTATATAGAACAAAGAAAAAACACTAAAAGCTGCAAGGGAAAAAGGCCAAATAACATATAATGGCAAACCCATCAAAATCACACCTGACTTCTCAACAGAGACTATGAAAGCCAGAAGGGCCTGGACGGATATCATGCAGACCCTAAGAGAACACAGATGTCAGCCCAAGCTACTATACCCAGCAAAACTGTCAGTCCTCATAGATGGAGAAAACAAGATACTCAACAACAAAAACAAATTTGAACAATACCTACACACAAATCCAGCATTACAGAAGATACTATAAGGAAAAATACAACCCAAGAAAACTAACTACGTTGAAGAAAACACAGGAAATAAATACCCTCACTACAGCAAAACAAAAATTAGAAAAGCACACAAACACACTACCAAGACACAGGCTACCAAATTGGATGCGTAAACAAGGCCCAACAATCTGTTGCATACAAGAAACACACCTAAGTCACAAAGATAGACATTACCTGAGAGTAAAGGGCTGGAAGACAGTTTTCCAAGCAAATGGATCCAAGAAGCAAGCAGGAGTAGCCATTCTAATAGCTAATAAAATAGACTTTCAACCAAAATTAATCAAAAGAGGTGGAGAAGGACACTTCATACTCGTCAAGGGAAAATTCTACCAGGAAGATATGACAATCTTGAACATCTATGCCCCAAATACAAGGGTATCTACATTTGTAAAAGAAACATTAATAAAACTGAAACCACACATAGATCCCCACACATCAATAGTGGAAGAATTCAACACCGCACTCTCAACAAAGGACAGGTCAACAAAACAGAAATTAAACAAAGAAACAATTAACTCTAAAAAAGGTCATGAATCAAATCGACCTAACAAACATCTATAGAACCTTTCACCCAAACACAAAAGAATTTACCTTCTTCTCAGCACCTCATGGAACCTTCTCCAAAATAAACCATAGAGTTGGTCACAAAGCGAACCTCAACAGATACAACAGATGTATCCTATCTGATCACCATGGACTAAAGCTGGACCTCAACAACAACAGAAATAGCAAAATCCTACACACACATGGAAAATAAACAACTCCCTACTCAATGACAGCTGGGTCAGGGAAGAAATAAAGAATGAAATTAAAGTCTTCCTAGAATTCAATGAGAATGAAGGCACAACATACCCAAACTTATGGGACACAATGAAAGCAGTGCTAAAAGGAAATTCCATAGCACTACGTGCCTTCAAGAAGAAATTTGAAACATCTCATTCAAGCAACTCAATGGCTCACCTAAAAGCCCTAGGGGAAAAAAGAAGCAGACACACCAAAGAGGAGTAGACAACTGGAAATAATCACACTCAGGGCTGAAATCAATCAATTAGAAACAAATAAAACAATTCAAAGAATCAATGAAACCAAGAGCTGGTTCTTTGAGAAAATCAACAAGATCGACAAACCCTTAGCCAAACTAACTAAAAGGCAGAGAGACACTATCCAAATCAATAAAATCAGAAAAGAAAAAGGGGACATAACAACAGACACTGAGGAAATCTCAACAATCATTGGGTCTTACTTCAAAAGCCTATATACCACAAAATTTGAAAATCTAAATGAAATGGACAATTTTCTTGATCAATTCCACTTCCCAAAGCTGAATCAAGACCAGGTAAATCAATTAAATAGTCCTGTATCTCCTAAAGAAATAAAAGCAGTCATCAAAAGTCTCCCATCCAAAAAACGCCCAGGTCTAGATGATTTCAGTGCAGAATTCTACCAGATCTTCAAAGAAGAACTAACACCAACACTCTTCAAACTACTCCACAAAATTGAAAAACAGGGAACACTACCAAACTCATTCTATGAAACCACAGTCAACCTTGGTACCTAAACCTCACAAAGACCCAACAAAGAAAGAGAATTTCAGGCCAAT